CGACACGTTGCACGGCAGCCGGTTGCCCAGCCACCACACCAACCAGTCTCGTCAATTACACATAGATATACTTATCACAATTTTATTTACTTTACGGGAATCAAACCTGCGACCAGTGTAGCGCCACGGTATTGACTTTAAGTACAACAATAGATATAAAGATAGGATTTCTTAAGGCAGTGAATAACTCACAAATTTATATTCCGAAACTTTCAATGGTTTATTTTCTAAAATCTAAATATCAGTATCATCATCATGCCTAATTTCCTAAAAAACGTAGTTAGAGATATGTAAGAAGTTTTCAGGATATTAAAAAACAACTGCCTCGTTGGCCGAGTGGTCGCAAGTGCAACTGCCGGGCAAGGGGTCTCGGGTTCGATTCCCGGGTCGGCCAATGTTTTACTGGGGTGTTTAAAAAAAAAATCTCAGTAATAGCATGGAGTCTGGAAATGTGCCCGGTATATGGCAATAGACTCACCCCCTATTACATGGGACTTATAACATAAATAGTGAAAAGTGGGTGTTACTCCTGTGTGCACCTCTGCCTACCCCTTCGGGGATATAAAGGCGTGATGTTATGTTATGTAAAAAACAATAATATTTTAGTTGACCCTGAGATTCAACCTAAGATCTGATCTGGATTGGAGTCAAGGTCACATTGATATATAGTTCAAGGACGCTCTAAAATAGACTGTCTTTTTATACGATGGATTATTCACAAATGGACTGCCGAGCTACAGGTCATAAAGGCAAAAGAATCAAAATCATTTATTTCAATTAGACCAGAAGGGCACTTTTGAACGTCAACAAAAAAATTAAAAGTGAAGCTCATTACTCATTCCAAGGTGTAGATTCCTATGGAGAAGAACGAGCAAGGTCAGGAACAAGGTCTTCGTTTTCCAGCTGGATAGTTTAATTAGCGTTTTTTCGGTTTTTCATAAATACCTCATCAAAGGCTAGAATGGGGGATAACGCACCACAATGACATGGCGCAAATTTTAAGAAAGATATTTTTGGCCAATCACAGCTGCTGTCAAATATTGATCATCCAATGATGTGAGACTAGCTAATTCCCTATTGGACGTACAACAAGAGATTCATTTAAGCGTCATCTGCTCAGCAGAAATACCACCACACACAAATGCACCCACGATACAGGAGGACTATTTTAGTGTGGGGTAACGATTTTAAAATCCAAAATAAAGTGTAAAGACGCTGTGTCTCGTTGCCGTTATTTCTTTTCCTGCCACAGGCCCACTGGAAGAAATTCCAGTTGGAATATGTAGGACCTATGTACCTCGTTTTTATATATGTGTTGTCCTTTGTGCTGTATGCGTGTACATTAATCACTACATAGTATAACAAAGTCGCTATACGCCGTCTGTCTGTCCCTATGTATGCTTAGATCTTTAAAACTACGCAACGGATTTTGATGCGGTTTTTTTAAATAAATAGAGTTATTCTTAAGGAAGGTTTATATGTATAATAAATGCATATTGCACCCGTGCGAAGCCGGGGCGGGTCGCTAGTAATAAATAAATAAATAAATAAATAAAATGTGTATGGAAATAAGGGTAAAAATAAGACACATATATTTTGTAAAATGTACATATAATCTTACATATAATCACGAACTATTTACATTGGAAAGCGCACTATCAAGTACTATACACACACAAAAATATTACATTTTTGCATTCCACTCGAACTTGTATCAAACTTGTTATTTTAAGTACAGGTTACGCGAAAACCTTATGGACAGCCAAAAAAAAAAATTTCAGAAAACTCAAAAACTGTGTCCTGTACTGAACTTTTTTTGTGCGCAATTTCTTTGATACATTCATATTTTTTCACTTAATATTAAGTATTAGAAAAATCTTTAAAGAAAAATGCATTTGGAATGTAAGTGGACTATATATGGCATTAAAAAGATTATTTTGCTTCAATTATAAAAAGGAATTCTAGAATATTACAATTGCATTAATAAATATACAGTCATATAATTTTCGACCAACCCATTTTAACCCATTTTAATAATACAAATTAAAATCGTACAGCTTAATGGCGTCTACATATTACTATAGAAAAAAAAAATTTGGAAAACATTTACTTTTTGAAAACCACCCGAGGTTAGGAAAGAGTAGCTGTGGTTTAAGTAACTTCAGAATTTAAGTTCTAGTATGTAACTGAATATAATTTAAAAATGGACTCTAAAGGTTAACCCAGTCAAAGATAGATTAGTCAAATCCACTAATATAGAACTTGACAAGGGAAAATTACAACACATTTAAACAAAGACAATTTAAACTATTGCCATTCTCCGATCGTTATCATTTTCCATTTTCTATTTTGAATTAAGATTTTCCACTTTTTACTTTTACCGTCGTGTGAAGAATGTGACTCCCACATACTCCCCCACGTGTGAATCGGGACACTGGGGTGGGTTTTACTCAGTAAGAGTCAGAGCCTGACAATCCCTTCGTCCTCCATGAGGATTTCTCACATAGGGGTAAAAAAAAGGTACGTATACGTTTGTCATCGAGGTATGTAAGTCAAACAAAAAAGGCATCAATTCAATGATCTAATGTACAAGTCTTAATAATGGGATACCCTATGTTAAATATTGTCCTACATGACTACATACTGCTTGCAAATTAGAATAATATTGAATAGTCAATTTGAAAAGGCAAAATTATTTGGTGACCTTTTTCATAACAGAATTGGAATTTCACATTATTTTTCATAAAACTGTATTCACTCGTATGTTAATATAAAAATCAGCGGATCTTTTCTTCATTTTCCACTTATTTTACCTCAGCTTTGGTAAGACGTAAGTTACGGCAAATTACAGAAGGGATTGTAATGGAAAATGCATATTATCTAAAATATTAAATTTTTTTGCAGTAGGTAAATATATAGGCTTGCAAAAGTAATTATTAAATACATATTTTCAATGTCCCAAAACCACATAAATAATATAGAAACAAGATATGTTCCACGTTTGTAATATAGAGGTAAACATAGAGTTGTACAATACTTTGACAGAGATTCTGGGTAGATTTTCATTTTGGTAACGGGTCCCCAGTAACTGTACTGGATAAAATGGACTAAAGAACAATACAATTAATGAAAACAAAACTTTGTATCGTAATAAATATTGGTTTATGTATTAAAATTAAACTATAAATAAAAACACACTGAAACATAAAAATCATGCATGGATATGGTATAAAAAAAAAATCAACTCTATTACTTAAGAAGAAAAGAAACACAAAAAGAATTGCACTAAACACATCTTTGGTCGTAAATTTACAGAGACTAGTCATTTAATAATAAATAAACATTAAATTAATAAATAAATTTTACTTAAATTAAACTTAAACTTAAAAATATTCGCTTTAAACTAAAAACCATCCTGTAGAGTGTTAAGTCAATTGCGCACTGCGCGAGCGACGCGAACGCTATAAAACATAGCTTTGAATAAACCAGATAAAAATTATATGCAGTAATTATAGTGACTAGTTATAACTCCTAAACAGTAACTGCATACAATAATGAGTCATATTATAATAATATTAAAATACAAATATTACATACAGGTACAAAATTCTTATAGTGACATCGCTATTAATAGGAGGCATTTGCAAAGTTTACAACTACCAATATTGCTTGAAACGTTGTAATTTATTTACATACTTCTACATAAAAATCAATTTCTACGCGCTATACTGAAAACAGTAAAAACATAGAAGATCTTTCCAAGTTCCTTTTCTGTTGATTAACCTTTGAGTACCGTCATTATATACACAATTAAAGAACAATAGGTTGCGGTCACCGGTGTCCTCGCGGTGTTTGACAGTTTAACAAATAAATGATTTTATTCACTTCTGATAATATAATTATAATCCACTTTTTGATGGACGGTAGATATTTAAGAATTTGGATTTTTGCAGCATCTTATCTAAAATAACTTGAACTTTTACTAATGGTTTTGAATGATCTATTAGCTGCAAATTTTATAATTGTACTGTTATAAATAACAGCTGAAGTTTAAAGTAAGCTTACAGCTCAGAAATAAATAAACAAACTCCTTAACAAATCAATCAACAGAAAAGAGATTTGAATAATTAAAAAATATATTACATAGTCAAATTCACACTTGAATAACGTCCACTTACATAATACCTAGAAACATTGCATTCGCTCGCTCAGTGCTTCCAACAATTTGTTTCAAGCATTATTATTTTTTCAATAACCTACAGTTGCACAAATCAGACTAGACTTATAATGAAGCAGTTCTTAAATAAATACCATTTTATACCTAAAGTTAATAACTAGATAATATCACGCACAAAGTTGCTTTTAATTTTTTTAATCAGCCGTTGTAAAATTAAATGGAATGGTTATGAAATCGTGACTAGGTGGTTTACGTTACACGATTTTAATTAACTAAGTATATAATGCAATAATAATTACATTTACTGTAAAGATTTGGTTACTTCAGTCACCTGAAAAATCAGTGAGATTTTTTACTGGCTGAGTCAAGTCGCAATGGCCGAAATTGAGGTCTGAATAATATAATAATTTATTTTTATCTGTACGCGTTGACTTCACTTCAGTTAAAAATGATTGCTAATAAATATCAGTTTGTTGTTACACTACTATGATATTATAACAGTTGCAGTAGTCGAGTATAATTGAATTCTTTGACAAATAACCTTCGCTATTTAGGTTTAAATCATTTTAAAAACAACATAACTTTGTAGCATTTTGGAAGGGCATTGACCTTAATATCAAAAAACATTTAGTGTGCACAATCCTTAGATAGTGATGGGCAACTTTTTGAAAACATCGATAAGTTTTGTTTTTATAATAAGTATCGTGAGACATACATACTAAATGACTAAAAATCTCGGGTTACTCACGTGAATATACTGAGAAAAGCTCTAGCCAACGCTAGCCAGTAGGCTGCGCGACATCGCCGCGACGGTGCACGCTGCTCATGAGGAAGAACCCCTCTGTGGTTCGAAACTAGTAGAGCTTTTCTCAGTACTTTCACGTGAGTAACCCGCAATGTTTAGTTAATCGATAAGTTTTATCCAAAAAATAAATAACCAAATGTAGCTTTTAAATCATGTAACGTATCCCTTATTTAAATATTATTACTTCGATCCGATTTCATCGGATATTCACTCTACGTTAAAAAGATCCATTGTTTTATTGTTTACAGTTATCTAATGACAATCGACTTTGAATAGAGGCGCCATTTTGTGTTAACATTTATTCATACTTAATAATACTTCTTTTTTTACCTTACACTTATATGAAAATACAAGAAAATTGTGTTTTTTATTGCACTAAAACCGAGCTGTGAATTTTTATATGACTTTGAATCAATCAGACGCCTAAATCCAAAGTGATTGTGTTACGCTAAAAAATACATATTGTCGTTCTAAAATAAAAACTAAATGTTAACTATTTTAGTTCACGTTTGACTAGAAACGTTTGATATAGAGATCAATCTGGGGCGCAACACTATTATTTTATCGATAGACTTGTCGATAAAGTGGTGAGGAGGCTTTTACAATTTCCTGTTTCGCTTCAGTCATTCTCGTAGAAAAAACATTCCTAATTGCCTAAAAATTACTAATCATAGCAATGACCTGTTTCACTTTCCTCACACACTTTCAATCGATTACTGACAACCTTAGCTAATCGATTAGGAAATCGATTGTCTACCGACAAATCTCTCGATCTTCGACATAGTAGCGCCACCCAGTGGCTAACAACTAAACTTTATCTAAAACGGCTTCGGCGTCGCACTATTCACGTAAGTTTTGACTGTACACTTTTATATTTAACTTATTTTTGTTAAGGGCCCCGAAAATTTTGAAAATGATGAACTAATTGTAAATTAACATTAAAAATTGGAACAGCAAGATAGAAAAATGTAAAAATCTTTGAACCAGCGGTTAAGAAATATTCAAGACAAAATCCCATTTATTGCTGATAGAAATTAATTGAAATCTACAGCATTAGATTTCATAAAAGACCAAGTAGATCAGCGTACAAAACCTGACCAGAACCCGACAAAAATAAAAAGAAATTAGTACTTATCCCTCTCAACAACGGAGACAGACAGTTCGGAGCCCAAAACAAGCGATTCTCATAGTACGAGAAGCTGCTGATGGGGAAGACGGCGTCACAAAAGATGGTCATCGTGGTCATCGTGGTCTTCCTCAGATTCTGCTGAATCAAGACTAGGAACCCTGTCCAGGTCATGAGGTTCACACTGCTGGTCCAGATCTGTGTTTGGCGCGTCGTCATCCTTCCACTTGTCCATCGACCGTCTTCTTGCGTTCATGAAGAAGTTGCCCACTGTTGTAGGCTCTAGTCCTAATTGTCTCGCTATTGTTACTTGCATCTCTTTTGATGGTCTTTTTGTTTCCTGGAATGGTTTAGTTTATGGGATTAGAATTTCTGATTGATAAAGGACATACAATTTTTTTCATTAAAATTAAATATTTGTAAATAATAATGACTACTGTCAACTGGACACTTAAAAGACTTTGTGGAGGAAGCCAAGAGTTTTAAAGATAGAAGGAAGTTTAACAAAACTGAAGTTTGACGGCACGATTGTTTTTTTAGGGGGGAAAATCATCGAATGACTGCTCCCGCCTGGGTGAGGCGGAAGGGAGTGTCAGACTCTTACTGACTAAAAACCACCCGTTCCTACTCCTGCACGTTGAGCCGGAGCCCCGGTTACCCGTTAGGGCGGTAGCTGGGCAACTGACTGCCGTACAACGTGTCGCAGGTTAGATTCCCGCACGATGCAACTCTTTGTGTGATCCACAGATTGTTGTTTCGGGTCTGGGTTTCATGTGTATATGAACTTGTATGTTTGTAAACGCACCCACGACACAGGAGAAAATACTAGAGTGGGTTACCCCACGCGTTTAAAAAAATGAATATTGTAAACTGGACACTAAAAACACCTTATGGGGGAGTTAAGAGGGTCAAGAGTTTCAAAGACAGAAAAATGTCTAATAAGACTGAAATTTCTAAGATATGGGAAGCATCAACGTACACTAATAGATGACATTTTTAGTCTTTACTTTTCACATTTTTATTTCTTTCCTTTGCAAAGAGAAGGTAGCTGGGTACCTTCTTCTTTTGAGTCTTTTTCTAGCTGTAATCACGTAGCTCCTTACAGAATTTTAGTTAAATAAAATAAATAAAACCTACAAATAAACGAGAATCTTCTTGAGAAGCAAACGTTTCCTTATCATGGGTAGCTTTTAGTTTAATTGAGTGATGTTATATTACAAGAATTATTATATTCACCTTAAAAATAGCCTGTAGAGTACGCCGCTGGAGGTCTGTGAAAACCAAACGCGGTTTCTTCGGGGAAGCCATATCCGAACCCAAATCCTCCTTGCGCTTGCAACCTGGAACCAAAACGTCATCTTTATTGTTTCTGCTCACAGGGCCTCGCAGGAGTCGTGACACTTTTGTTTCATTTTGACAATTTTAACGCCAATATTTTTTGGAATTATGATGGCACTTTTGAGAGGTGTGATTTTATAACTTTTGACTTTTTTGAAAAAACATCTGTAATTTAGGACTAAACAGATCAAAGTATGTATTTTTATCTGTTATCTAAACAATTACTCTTAACTCGTTGAGAACCGTCATTATAGACACAATTAAAGAACAATAGGTTGCGGTCACCGGTGTCCTCGCGGTGTTTGACAGTTTAAATGATCTTCTTGGTATAAATTGGGACCTTGGCTTATAATATAGGTGCCACACAAACAATTTTGACAAGAAACGAAACAAAAACATCAACAACTCTAGTTTGGCCCCCAAAATACTACACGAACGTTCTAGAAATAGGTACGTACATATGCGGCTGTCTCCTGCAGTTGAGTGAAAAGAAATAAACAGATCTTAATATTGATATTATTTACTTATTAAAAACTTATTTTAAACTAACTAATACTATTAATCATAGTCTTACTCAAACTATCAACCTTAATCTTATAGATATAACATATTCGTAAATCAAGTTCAAGATGATGACGATGTGGGATCTTAAAGTCATAAATTCGGACTCTATGTACCACTAAGTACTTTCAGTATCAAAAATCCCAATAATACTTTGCTGAACTCGAGAATCGAACTCAAGATGTTATTGTACAAAAAATTAACTATGGTATGATGAAGGGTCGGAAAAGAAGCCGTCGAAATGTAACAATTTTTGTGGGGATGGAATTCTTGTCTCACTTGAGATCATCACTTGAGAACATCATAAGGGCTTCAGGGTTTTAAGACTAAGGGTAAAACTTTCCACATGTAGACTGATTTCACTCCAGGAAGAAAAGTCTTTTAATCTTGCCTCAAAGTTATTTTTCGGAAATCTTCCTCATCAACCAAAATGATACTTAAAATCTTCGAATGGTAATTATTATTCTAAATTATATTAAAAGATTAATTACTTAAGCAACCATTTTGATTTAAATGAGAAAGACGATATTCAAATTCTGGTTCTAACGTAATGATTCTGATTTAAATGCTAAGCCTTAAATATTAAATAAGCAATGATAAATAATTCTCGCCTTTAATGCTGTTAGGATAAGGTTCAAGATACTCACTGCCTCTCTGTGGGATCTGGGCCGCTGTAACAACAAAAAATATACAGATTTTAGTTATTTGACATCAAAAAAGGAAATTCCTTCATCGTGGACTTGTCTATTGGCGCTTGACGGTTCTCTATCAAGCTTATTGTCTATATACAACAAACATGCTTCTAAACATAGACGTCTAAATTTTAAAGCTTCTACAAAGATACCATCTTTTTCAACTACTTGATCAATAACTGAATCTTCATCTATTTATTTTCTAATTACTTTAATTCGTTTTATTTCGTAGTATACTTGTAAAAGCTTGAAAATTGTGTCACGTTTATATAAGATGAGAATAACACCAGCTATAAAAATGGATCTAACATTGAGTTTGTTATATTTGTCTATTGGCGCCCAACATGGGACCGGTCGATTTTTCTAGATTCTACTTTATTAGCGTGGAAATATGGTCTATTATTATTAGTTTATGACTAAATTTAAGTTTATCTTTGTGATACTTCATACTCCCACACTAATAAAATAGAATCTGTCTATACGTTCATTTATACATTGATATATTTTCTATTAATTCTAACGTTGACATGCTGGAATCACACAAAATATTTCGTAGTTTTACCAAATCATCACAAATTAAATAAGTTTAAATTATTTATTTTCTAATATTTCTACAATTTACATCTATTTCGTGATAAAATTCCAACATATCAAAAGTATTCTAAACACCAAACGTATTATATAAAAACGCATACCTGGCGACAATGTAAACAACATTAACAAAGGGTTCTGAAATCTCGCAGGCACCTATAAAATCATATAATAAAGAACTATTGCAGCCCGGGCGCAGGGAGAAACAAAAAGGGAGGGAATAGGGCGCGGTAGCAGTCTAACATTCATCTTGGCCTCATTAAGCTAACAAAATAACACTTACCTACAGCTAGAAATAATGTTTCAAAAAACATTATCTAATTAAACAATCATTAGGCAGTATCGATACCACAAAAGCCAAACAAAACTAAAGCCCGGGAAAGGATACTGCCTATTCAGAAAAAAATAACATCTATGAGCAAAATCTCTATACATTTTACACATTTGATTGACAGAACAAAAATATCCATTCATTTAACCTCTCAGTCTAAGTTGACTTGTCACAAAGATGTCTGCGAATCAAAATTATTATTAGTGTTTCTATAATTATTATATTATTATGTGTTGTGTTTTACCTTTGCGACAAGCTATAATACACGTTATAATACCTATGAGAAACCAAGTCCACTGCTACGCAGCCACGAGTGGAGGACGGAGGGGAGAGGTTCGGGAGGGAGGAATAAGAATCTTGAACAGCAATTAAAAAGATGAGAGCGCAATGGATGATTCCAGAAGTGACGATGAGAATGATGACGAACCATATAAACCAAAAGATGTGACAATGAATAAAGCGAGCGATTCAGCAAAGATGGTTAAATTGAAAAAAATGTCACCCACAACAAAATTAGTAAAAACCATGAAGAATCCCAAGGATAGAAGAGAGTAGGTGATAGGAAGATGATGGAATCCAGGATCGAAAGAAGTGGGGCGGACTCACAAGCAAGAAACGTCCCCAGCTGGTTCGTAGGGTGCGTCCCAGTGGGGCGAAGGCCCGGGGTACATTGTGGAGCCCTGGGGCGCGGGTGGAGCACCCTGGTACTCCCGAGGCTGGCAGTAAGGTTGTTGAGGCATGTTGTTTACATTGTCGCCTTTTATCGTTTGATGCTGATTTGGCGTATCTGTAAAATTAAAGTGATTTAATTTTGGTAACTGAATGTGGTGTTTAATATTGGGATTCTAATACTTAACTCCGATTATTTTAGTGTTTACTTTTGATTTATTTATCAAACTAATGCTATCGATCTGTTCTTGTATCTACAGTGAACCGGATATTTCACCCTGAAATTATTTTTGAACTTACGAGAGCCTTGAAACATATTCTAAGAAAGGTTATTAAAGGAAATAAAATCGAAGACAGAAGGATTTTTCGGAGTATTGTATTATTAGAATAATCGAGATGCAAAAAGTTTAGGAATACACACACAAAAGGAATAGAAGAAATAACTTCTGAAGCCGAAATGACTAATAAATATGAAGGGTGACTAACCTATCCAATTTCAGCACAATAAATCTGCCCCAGCCAATATAGGATTACAAGTAACTTTGACTAATATTTAGTTTATGGATTTACGTTCAAGGTTTTTAAAGGTCATGCGATTTAGAATACCTATCTATTAAAATCACCCGAATCTAGAAAGCGACGTTCTAAATTTAAGGCTCAATTATGACCTCATTTTTTCAAATTCTTTGAACACACCGAGAGGTCATAAGACCCCGAACCACGTGTCCCAATAAATCTGGAACCCCGAGTCCAATAAATAAAATATACCATAAAAACCCCAACCGTATATCAAAGGTAAAATGTCCAAGAAACCCCATATAGGTACGTATAACTGAACCGGCGGCGGGTGTGCGGGGGGGAGGGATGGATCGATAAAGAGGGTGGTCTGACGTCACAGGGGGAGGGGTAACCAACATCGCATCGCCTCGTTTGCAGTACTACCTTTTTGGAGGCTTTTTGAAGTTCTTCAGGGTAACTGATGGTGTCTACCAGGGTTAGGACATTTTATTGGCCTCCTGTCGCAAATTGGGTGAAGTAATAAAACATTAGCGGATAAAATTGGGATTTCTAAAAGAGTAACAGCCTAAAGTAATATGGTCGCACTTCCACGTGGTTTGTTGCTAACCTAAAAAATTGAGAATGTGTTTTTTTGGAATAACTTTTTTTTAATGCTTCGTGCGTCAGCTATCTATGTGTATAAGTGGACTTAAGGCGATACTCTTACTTTTTCGAAATGTGTAAGTACAGGCCTTGAAGCATAAAATCAAGTATCATTCAATTAATAAGTTACATTGTAGCATCATCATTAACATCGTAGTTTAATATTGTCTCGACAGTCACTCTTGCAACCACTTATTCGGGTATCTACTACCCAACCATTCATAAACCTTAGTACCACGGGAGTAAGCAAAAATCTAAATTTTAAACTACTAGCAGTAGCGACAGAGCTCACTGCTTTTAATTCATCTAGGTATACTTGTATTAGTTGTAATTTTATTTTAACATAACATCACGCCTTTTATATCCGAAGGGATAGGCAGAAGTGCAAATTCCACACTCCATGCTACTACTGAGCATTTAACAAAAAACCTAGTAATACTTTGCCCGACCCGGAAATCGAACCCGAGATCCCTTGTGCGGCAGTCGCACTTGGGACTACTCGGCCAATGAGGCAGTATTTTTAGTATATCTCCAATGAGGTCTATATACAATTTGAACGCAACCTAAGCCCAGTGTTTCTTCTCCAATTGAACCTCTTGAATACATCGACATAAAGTTATTCATTTTCCGTACCTTATTTTTCACAGATTTTCTACTTAAACCCTAAAGTTGACTGGTAGAGAATGCTAAATGGCATTAAGTTCGCCTTATGTGGCATTGTCTTGCTTACCACTAGGCATGATAGTGGTCAAACGTCGGCCCATCAAATATGAAAAAAAAAATGTGTCATTGTGTAAATAATTGTGTACATTAAAGACTAAATAAATAGATACTCATTTTTTTTAAGGGCGGAAAATCATCTTATGACTACTCCCGCCTGGGTAACTCTAATGACTAAAAACCACCCCGTTCCTTCTCCTGCACATCGAGCCGGAGCCCCAGTAACCCGTTAGGTTCTCCGCGACAAATAGATACTCAATAGGAAATATTATATTGTGTCTCACGTGAATCCTCGTTTTTGGACACAAGAAAGGTCAAATACTATTTTCTTAACCCCAGTATTTTCTTCCGATCAAAATGAAATCCAGGATCAAACATTTTGCTATAAATCTAGCATCATTTTAATCAAACACAGATTTAATATTTCACCCAATAATACCTTTTGACACACGATTTTCGAATCCTTACCTAAAGAAGTAAAGATTCGAGATCCATTGAAAATCTTTAATTATGAGCATTAAACCAATGCGTAACATAACCATTAATGTATATCAAATAAGTAATAATTTCATATTAAAGATATAGAGTAAATATATGAATGTAATATTTTAATATCACCTACATATTGGAATTCTTAGTCTCTTTGTTTGTTAGATCTTATATCAAATTAGATATCAAAAAAGGGTAGGCAGAAGTTTTATGTCTATTTTACTTAGTAAAACAACTGTTTTCAGCAACTTTGTTTTTAAACGTTATACTAGGATGTAATCGTGTGTCTAGGTCAAATAGGAACTTTATCTATGATCTCTATCGGAAGCCCAAATAGGTGTCCCCACTCCCAATCCCTGAATCCCCAGCAATCCTCAAATTTCTAATCCCTAAAAGGCCGCGCGGTAACACATTTGTAACGCCTCTGGTGTTCCAGGTGTCCATTGGCGACGCCGATTGCTTACATCAGGTGATTTGTGTGCTCATGCTTGTACTTATACAAATAAAAAAGTTAAACCAATAATTTTGAACATCAACGACAAACATCAACAATATACGCGCAAAGAAGGCTATCCTTCAAGTACTTCCCTAAAGAAGTTATTCACTCGTTATAAAGTTCCTAGTTAAATTCCTAGTTAAATCTGCCTATCCAAATTCAGATGACAGTTTAATGATACATATCCCCACCAAAGTTCTATACATAGACAAAGAAAATGTCTATGAAAACAATAAGAACCACATATATATCACCCAGATATCAAACAAAAGATATAAATATTCTCAATGCTATAATAAGAGAAAACGGGACTCTTATGACGTCAGACGTCAAGTGTACTTATAACATAGAAGTCAACATAGGCAATGACGAAACTGTACATACATAACTTCACGCCTTCCCCTCAACTATTTTCTACACCTCTGTATATATACAGTAAAATAGTTGATAATAATTATTTGTCACTAACACAAGTGTTTTGTCCTATCAGCTACTAACAACTAAAAACTACCACCAAGTTAA